GCAGGCTAAAGCAGCTTAAATAAGGCGCCATGCATGATGTTTGCCAATTGGATGCTTGAGGAAATCAGGTGAGCTGTCAGCTGACTGTGTATGGTATCCAATGGGAAGCTTAGAGGAATCAGCTGATGTATGTGTATGACTAGCTGTGATCTTATGATATAGCTGTAACTGAAAGCTAAGCCTGACTTCGTGCCCTGCCTGAACTAACGCTATGCTCAATTTATTGTAGGTGATTTTAATATTCATGTGGATGTTGACAGTGACAGCCTTAGTAATGCATTTATATCATTAATAGACTCAATTGGCTTCTGTCAGAGTGTAAATAAACCAACTCATTGTTTTAATCACACTCTTGACCTTGTTTTATCATATGGCATTGATATTGAACATTTAATAGTCTTCCCACATAATCCTTTCCTATCTGACCATTATTTAATAACTTTTGAATTCATGTTGTTAGATTATAAGCCATTAGGCAAAACTTCCTACAGCAGATGTCTATCTGACAGTGCTGTAGCTAAATTTAAGGAGATTCCTTCAGTGTTTAATTCAATGCCATGTCTGAATTTAACAGAATCCTATAACGACTTTAGTCCCTCTGAAATTGATAATCTTGTCGATAGTGCTACAGGCTCACTACGAAGAACATTAGACTCTATCGCTCCTATAAAAAGGAAATTATTAAAACATAGGAGACTAGCACCATGGTACAACCACCAAACCCGCCAGTTAAAGCAAATAGCTAGGAAATCTGAAAGGAAATGGCGCTCTTCCAAATTATCAGAATATCGCTCAATTTGGCATCATATTCTTAAAACTTATAGAAAGGCCCTCCGTAATGCCAGAGGAGCCTATTACTCAGCACTAATAGAAGAAAATAAGAATAACCCTAGGTTCCTCTTCAGCACTGTAGCCAGACTGACAGAGAGCCACAGCTCTATTGAGCCACATATCCCCATAAACTTAATTAACAATGACTTCATGAGCTTCCTCTATAATAATATTCTTACTATTAGAGAAAAAATTAATCACCAACTGCCATCAACAGTTATCAGTGGCTCTCCAAGTTCAGGGACTTCTGTCAATGTAAACTTAGATATATATTTAGACTGTTTTTCTGCTATCGATCTTCATCAGTTAACTTCAATCATTTCTTCATCGAAGCCATCAACCTATCTATTAGACCCGATCCCAACTAGGCTGCTTAAAGAAGTTGTTCCCTTAATTGGCACTTCTTTACTGGATATGATTAATCTTTCTTTATTATCAGGATATGTACCACAGTCCTTTAAAGTAGCTGTAATTAAACCCCTTCTTAAAAAGTCCACTCTTGACCCAGGGGTTTTAGCCAACTATAGACCGATTTCTAACCTCCCCTTCCTCTCTAAGATTCTGGCTAAAGTAGTCGCCAAAGAGTTGTGTGACTTTCTACATAACAATAGTTTATTTGTGACGCGTTCCATCAAAATGAGTCGGATGTCGCAGCGGCCCGTTTGTGTAGAAACACGTTTTTACAAGAAAATACAATTTTGGGCTATTTTTAGTTTTTACATGTTTCTAATTAAATAAAGTCTCAGCTTTCATACCATGTTTAATGTAAAATACAAAGGATAAATATAGCTAGCATAAATAAAATGAAACAGGTTTCAGAGTTCAAAACACCGGCTAGCGTGTTTGTGTCATCTACGTCATCTGTCAACTGTCAGTTTAGATAGACACGGACACAGAGACAGATTGACAGATTGACAGCTTAGACAAAATGAATTTTCGCGACGACGAAATTGCTCAACTTTTAAATTCAATTCCTGTAAGACATGGTACTTCAGACGACAACTGGATCGACCTTATTACGGACTTTTTCACCGCACCGGCAGCTGAGAGTGAGAGTGACAGCGGCGGCTCGACCTCCGGTATTTCGCTCTACCGACACCGGCCGGCTCCGGCGAAGAAAGTGAGTGTGACGGAGGCCAGGAGGAAGATATTCCACTCGTGGCTGACCCGATGGTAGCATACAATGTCTCTGATTATAATTATGTAAAGCAGTAAAGCAGTAAAGTTTATTTATTTGAATATAAACTGTCTATAAATGTCTTTCAATTCATTTGGAATATGGCGGAATGTTGATTGCTATCTTTAGAGCCCTTTTTCTCAAAAACAAGGTTTGGTGACAATCGACCTTTGGAAGAGCGTGTCTCATACAATTTTTGGAGTAGAAAAATAATTTTGGTATCTCCATAAAGCTGAGACTTTCCTCTTTACAGCCAAGAAGAAAACTCAAAATGAGTTTCTGGGTCAAAGTGACTCAAAATGATGGAGCAGGTCACATTTGAGGATTTTCAGTCAGGATTTAGAGTTCATCATAGCACAGAGACAGCTCTGGTTAAAGTTAATAATGACCTTCTGACTGCTTCTGACAATGGATTTGTCTCTGTACTTGTATTATTAGATCTTAGTGCTGCATTTGACACCATTGACCATAGTATTCTTTTGCAGAGACTTGAGCATCAAATTGGCATTAAAGGAACCGCACTAAGCTGGTTTAAGTCATATTTATCAGAACTCTCGCAGTTTGTACATGTTAACGATGAATCTTAAATAAATACTACAGTTAGTCATGGAGTTCCACAAGGTTCTGTACTTGGACCAATACTATTTACTTTATATATGCTCCCTTTAGGCAACATTATTAGGAATCACTCCATTAACTTTCACTGTTATGCAGATGATACGCAGTTATATCTATCAATCAAGCCCAATGAAATTAATCAATTATCTAAATTACAAACATGTCTTAAGGACATAAAATCCTGGATGAGCTGCAATTTTCTGATGTTAAACTCAGAAAAATTCTTGTTCTTGGCCCCAAAAACCTTAGAGACTCACTGTCTAAAGATATAGTTACTCTAGACAGCATTAACTTGGCCTCTAGCACCACTGTCAGGAATCTTGGAGTTGTCTTTGATCAGGATTTGTCATTTAACTCCCACATAAAGCAGACCTCTAGGACTGCCTTCTTTCATTTACGTTATATTAGAAAAATTAGACACATACTATCACAGACAGATGCAGAAAAACTAATCCATGCATTTGTTACTTCAAGGCTGGATTACTGCAACTCTTTATTATCAGGTTGCCCCAATAAGTCCATTAAAACACTCCAATTAATTCAAAACGCTGCAGCACGAGTACTGACAGGAACTAGAAAAAGAGATCACATCTCTCCTGTACTAGCTTCTCTGCATTGGCTCCCTGTAAAATGTAGAATAGAATTTAAAATCCTCCTCCTCACCTATAAAGCTCTTCATGGTCAGGCCCCTTCATATCTTGAAGAGCTCATAGTACCCTATTACCCCTCTAGAACACTACGTTCTCTGAATGCTGGGCTACTTGTGGTTCCTATAGTCTCTAAAAGTAGAACAGGAGCCAGAGCCTTCAGTTACCAAGCTCCTCTCCTGTGGAACCAGCTTCCATTTGTGGTTCGGGAGGCAGACACCCACAGGACCAACGAGCTGGGGGGCTCGTGAATCAGCCTGTGTAGTTTTAGGTTAAAGGGACAGAGTTGCAGAGGTTGTTTTTTTTTAATGTATATACTGAGAGGATGGTCTCCAATGACCTTTGACCTTGACTGAGGCCTCCCCAGACCAGTTGCTCTTTTGACCTCATTTGGTCACCAAAGCAGATGGAGGCCTGAACCTTGAACTAGGAGATCCCTGAGATGTGTAAAATCATGTTATCCAGGTAACATGTTATGTTGCTACTACCATACTGAAAGTAGCTTCAGTAATAACTTTGGGCCTCCAACATCTAGAACCTGGTTTGGACATGTAATATAAGTGCTTCCTGACAAGTTCAGCTCATTTGGAGCTATATGGGCCCAGTTATGTGCCTAAAACTGTAGAACAAATTCAAATGGAGCGAACGCTCATGGGCAGATGACAAGACTGAGAGGGTTCAAACCACCACAGGACTGGCCCACGTGGAGTGCAAAATCACTGACAAAACTTTCAGCCTCCTAGCCTGAGAGGAAAAAGGTTTTTCTGGTTGGACCAAGAAAGATCCAGACCCTTGGACTTATACACCCTTAGACCATCTGTAGGTGTTGGTGCTTGATTGGCCTGTTAATTGAATCCTTGGGGCTACATCCACCAAAGTTTATACGCATTATCTAGGCCCACCAAGGACCATGCCCTGTGAATTGCAATTGCAGATTTTCTTTTAATATATACAATGAAAGGATGATCTCCAATGACCTTTGACACTGACTGATGCCTTCACAGACCAGTTGCTCTTTTGACCTGGTTTGGTCACCAAAGCAGATGGAGGCCTGAAACTGGTTTAGAAAGGTTTGGTCAGTGATTCTGCACTATTGGTCAGATCTAACATTACAGTATAGACCCTTTATTTATTAAAAGTACAAAGGTGGCTCGAGAATAACTTTGACCTGTTTGGCCAAATATGGACCTCATTGGCAGATGGAAAGACTGAGAGGGTTCAAACCACCACAGGACTGGACCACATGGAGTGCAGAATAACTGACAAAACTTTTAGCTTGAGATCCCTGAGATGTTTAGCTAAACCTTGTGAAGATTTAAATGCTAGGTTAAAACACTACTGCTCTAAGTAGACCACTCATACACTCGGACTCAATAATAAACTGTTATGTGCAATAGATACTCAAACATGCAGATTTTTAAAATTATCCATTATGCACCGTTGCCATTGTCTTGCCGTTGTTTCTGTTTGTCACTGTATGTCGTTGTTGTTGGTTTTTTGTCTTTTTCCTGTTTATATTGTATATACTGTTATATTTATTTATTATTCTCCTATCCTCTCGCTGCTGCAATAACCGGAATTTCCCCACTGTGGGATGAATAAAGGCTATTCTATTCTATTCTATTCTATTCTATTCTATTACTGGACTTATGAACTGCGGAAAAATAAATTCCACTATTTTTCAAGTTGAGCAGTTCTATTGAAAACATCAAATTCAAGGAACTCTGTATGGTGACTGAACATTTTAATGTTGCATAAGTTTTGAACAGTTTTCAATTCCTCCTGCCTTCTCCTTTCTTCCCGTCATTCTTGAAATTTCCTTCTTTTCAAAGGTATCTTCCAGGTTTTTTCTGCTGCTCCACTTGATCCTTCTTCACTTTCCCTCTCACTCTTCTCCAGATGCTCCTCTTTTAACTTTCTCTTTTGCACTTCTTTAGCTTTACTCCTCGGCATCACCACAGGCTCATCTTTAATCTTTGTTTCTCTCTTCATTCCCTTTTCACTCTTACTTTTCATCTTCTCCAAAGTCTTCTCTTGAATCTTTGTTTCTCTCTTCTTTCCCTTTTCACTCTTACCCTCCATATTCTCCAAAGTCTTGTCTTGAATCTTTGTTTCTCTCTTCTTTCCCTTTTCACTCTTACCCTCCATATTCCACTCTTTGGACACAGTTTCCCCCATGGATCCTTTATGTTAAGTAAATAATGATTGGTTACTATTGAAATTTGTACCAGTATTTATCCTTTGCATTGTAGTATGTATTTACCTGAGGGAATCATCTGTCCAACTGTGGATCCAGCCTGGTGTTCAATGTTGTCACCTTAAAAGTGTATAAATACAGAAATATATATATGCAACTTTTCTTGTCCAGGCTCTATTACTTCACTTTGTCATATTTTTCCATAATTACCAGATATTGGCATGATGACTTCAAACAAAGATGACTGGTGGAAAATCATCTTATTCACCATATTGACTCGGTCACACACAGTTTTTGTTGAGTGAGTTGTCAAAATCGTTGCTGTTCCTGGGCTTACAAAAGCCTGCTGCATCTAAAAAAATTAAAATAAAAAAGATGTTAAAATATGTTCTCGATCATCTAGTTCGTCTAGCTCGGATGTTCAGGTGTGTTTTAGTGCAGTGCTCTTACACCAGGACGGACTTTGACTGCCACCTTGTCATTCTGTGGGAAAAGGTCAAAGCATGTTGTAAACAGTTTAGAAAGCCACTAATTATTAACACAAAGCGAGCAGATCTACTTCACAGTCAGAAGTTATCATTTTGATTTGTTGGCCTTATAGAAACCCATTTTATCACCTACACACAATGGCAAAGATCCAACATCTATGTAAGAGTCCCTTTATTGTAAAGAATGGGCCTGATGTCTAAACAAGTCTGTTTACTGTAAAATACTTTTTCTGACTTGAGTAACAGCTTTTCTTGTGTTTGTGTTATATGTGGTATATGGTGGTATATGTTGACATTATACTTACTACAGGTGTCTTGAGAGTGACAGGACTCAGTGAAACCAGGGCTGTATTCAGTTTTAGGTCTGGAGATTGGCTCATCAATGCTCGTGTATCCTGTTAATTTATCAATATGAATTAAAGAAGAAATGAAACAGACAAGTGTGGGTTTTAAAAGCCAAGTTTCAAGTTTTTATTTTGCTAATGTGGTAAAACTTTATCTTTTTGTGATATGATTATTGCTTGTTTGATGTACTAGCCACTTCACTTACCTCATTCTGCAACACATCTTCCTCACCACTTTCCCCCATATTTCCTTTTGACAGGGCTTCCTCTTCTTTCTCAGGCAGACATAGACTCTCTCCTCTCGTACACTCCTCCTCTGATTCCTTTTCTGTTACTCTCAGTGCACGGACCCTTGAACCAACCCGCTCAACTTCAGATGAGCTCCTCAGCTGGTTTTATGAAAGACAAAAATAATTTGTTCATTTGGACTGAAAGCTTTTAGTATTTTCCGAAGCATTTACACTGATAATGACTCACCTCTCTTTGCAGGACAGAGCTCTCAGATCTCTTTCTTTTGGCCACCTTGTGAACCCTTCCTATGATCTGTTCATCCTCTTCTTCAAAATCACCCTCTGATTCCTCCTGTGTGGTTTTAATTCATTAAAACTAACTCATTTAGCTCTGAAGGTCTTCAGTACTTTTAAACACTTAAACTGATGATATATCTCACCTCTCTTTGCAGGACAAGGCTCTCAGATCTCTTTCTTTTGGTCACCTTGTGAACCCTTTCTAGGACTTGTTCCTCCTCTTCTTCAGAATCATTCTCAGATTCCTGCTGTGTGGGTTTCCATTCATCAGCGGAGCCATCACCTTCAGATGAACTAAAGCTCTGTTTTTAGGTAAAACAAGATTCATTTTACTGATTTTGAATTGAAAGCTTGTAGAATGTGGGGAAGCACTGAATCTAATTATTACTCTCACCTCTATTCTCTGGAAAGGGCACTCAACCTCCCTTTTATCTGTTCCATCCTGTTTAAAAGAGGTCATCTTCTGTTTTTTAATGAAAAGTCAAAAGAGTATGAAAAGCTTTGTAATATGTGGAAGTACTGAAAACTGTCAAAACTCACCATTTGTTGGTTCAAAGGCACAGATGCACTTTTCTCACACAGCTGGTAAGTCCTTTTTGGCACATGTTCCTCATCCTCTTCAGGATCTGGTACTGTTTTTTCTGCTGCTCCACTTGACCCTTCTTCACTTTCCCTCTCACTCTTCTCCAGATGCTCCTCTTTTAACTTTCTCTTTTGCACTTCTTTAACTTTACTTCTCGTCATCACCACAGGATCTTGAATCTTTGTTTCTCTCTTCTTTCCCTTTTCACTCTTACTTTTCATCTTCTCCAAAGTCTTCTCTTGAAACTTTGTTTCTCTCTTCTTTCCCTTTTCACTCTTACCCTCCATGTTCTCCAAAGTCTTCTCTTGAATTTTTGTTTGTCTCTTCTTTCCCTTTTCACTCTTATCCTCCATGTTCTCCAAAGTCTTCTCTTGAATTTTTGTTTCTCTCTTCTTTCCCCTTTTACTCTTACCCTCCATGTTCTCCAAAGCCTTTTCTTGAATCTTTGTTTCTCTCTTCTTTCCTTTTTCGCTCTTACCCTCCATCTTCTCCAGAGACTTATCTTGAATCTTTGTTTCTCTCTTCTTTCCCTTTTCACTCTTACCTTCCATGTTCTCCAAAGTCTTCTCTTGAAACTTTGTTTCTCTCTTCTTTCCCTTTTCACTCTTACCCTTCATGTTCTCCAAAGTCTTCTCTTGAATCTTTGTTTCTCTCTTCTTTCCTTTTTTACGCTTACCCTCCATGTTCTCCAGAGACTTCTCTTGAATCTTTGTTTCTCTCTTCTTTCCCTTTTCACTCTTATCCTCCATGTTCTCCAAAGTCTTCTCTTGAATTTTTGTTTCTCTCTTCTTTCCCCTTTTACTCTTACCCTCCATGTTCTCCAAAGCCTTTTCTTGAATCTTTGTTTCTCTCTTCTTTCCTTTTTCGCTCTTACCCTCCATCTTCTCCAGAGACTTATCTTGAATCTTTGTTTCTCTCTTCTTTCCCTTTTCACTCTTACCTTCCATGTTCTCCAAAGTCTTCTCTTGAATCTTTGTTTCTCTCTTCTTTCCCTTTTTACTCTTACCCTCCATGTTCTCCAAAGCCTTCTCTTGAATTTTTGTTTGTCTCTTCTTTCCCCTTTTACTCTTACCCTCCATGTTCTCCAAAGTCTTTTTTGAATCGTTGTTTCTCTCTTCTTTCCCTTTTCACTCTTACTCTCCATCTTCTCCAAGGTCTCTTCCAGAATCGTTTTCTTTGTCTTTTGTCCTGCTCTACCCTCATTGTGGATCTTTTCCTCTGCCCTTTGTCCTTCTTCACCATCACTGTCCATCTTCTCCAAAGTCTCTTCCTGTGTCTCTTTCTCTGTCTTTTGTCCTTCTTTTAGCTTATTTCTGTCACCTTCAATCTTTGACATCTCCAAATAGCCCTCATCCACTTCACCTTCTTTTTCTTGTCCTTCATATTCTCCCCCCTTTGTTCAGGCAGGCTCTTGTGCAATGTTGTGTCTCCCACTGAGACTTCATTCTCCAATAGCCACTCTTTGGACACAGTTTCCCCCATGGATCCTTTATGTTAAGTAAATAATGATTGGTTACTATTGAAATTTGCACCAGTATTTATCCTTTGCATTGTACTATGTATTTACCTGAGGGAATCATCTGTCCAACTGTGGATCCAGCCTGGTGTTCAATGTTGTCACCTTAAAAGTGTATAAATACAGAAATATATATATGCAACTTTTCTTGTCCAGGCTCTATTACTTCACTTTGTCATATTTTTCCATAATTACCAGATATTGGCACGATGACTTCAAACAAAGATGACTGGTGGAAAATCATCTTATTCACCATATTGACTCGGTCACACACAGTTTTTGTTGAGTGAGTTGTCAAAATCGTTGCTGTTCCTGGGCTTACAAAAGCTTGCTGCATCTAAAAAAATTAAAATAAAAAAGATGTTAAAATATGTTCTCGATCATCTAGTTCATCTAGCTCGGATGTTCAGGTGTGTTTTAGTGCAGTGCTCTTACACCAGGACGGACTTTGACTGCCACCTTGTCATTCTGTGGGAAAAGGTCAAAGCATGTTGTAAACAGTTTAGAAAGCCACTAATTATTAACAAAAAGCGAGCAGATCTACTTCACAGTCAGAAGTTATCATTTTGATTTGTTGGCCTTATAGAAACCCATTTTATCACCTACACACAATGGCAAAGATCCAACATCTATGTAAGAGTCCCTTTATTGTAAAGAATGGGCCTGATGTCTAAACAAGTCTGTTTACTGTAAAATACTTTTTCTGACTTGAGTAACAGCTTTTCTTGTGTTTGTGTTATATGTGGTATATGGTGGTATATGTTGACATTATACTTACTACAGGTGTCTTGAGAGTGACAGGACTCAGTGAAACCAGGGCTGTATTCAGTTTTAGGTCTGGAGATTGGCTCATCAATGCTCGTGTATCCTGTTAATTTATCAATATGAATTAAAGAAGAAATGAAACAGACAAGTGTGGGTTTTAAAAGCCAAGTTTCAAGTTTTTATTTTGCTAATGTGGTAAAACGTTATCTTTTTGTGATATGATTATTGCTTGTTTGATGTACTAGCCACTTCACTTACCTCATTCTGCAACACATCTTCCTCACCACTTTCTTTTGACAGGGCTTCCTCTTCTTTCTCAGGCAGACTTGGACTCTCTCCTCTCGTACACTCCTCCTCTGATTCCTTTTCTGTTACTCTCAGTGCACGGATCCTTGAACCAACCCGCTCAACTTCAGATGAGCTCCTCAGCTGGTTTAATGAAAGACAAAAATAATTTGTTCATTTGGACTGAAAGCTTTTAGTATTTTCCGACGCATTTACACTGATAATGACTCACCTCTCTTTGCAGGACAGAGCTCTCAGATCTCTTTCTTTTGGCCACCTTGTGAACCCTTCCTATGATCTGTTCATCCTCTTCTTCAAAATCACCCTCTGATTCCTCCTGTGTGGTTTTAATTCATTAAAACTAACTCATTTAGCTCTGAAGGTCTTCAGTACTTTTAAACACTTAAACTGATGATATATCTCAACTCTCTTTGCAGGACAAGGCTCTCAGATCTCTTTCTTTTGGTCACCTTGTGAACCCTTTCTAGGACTTGTTCCTCCTCTTCTTCAGAATCATTCTCAGATTCCTGCTGTGTGGGTTTCCATTCATCAGCGGAGCCATCACCTTCAGATGAACTAAAGCTCTGTTTTTAGGTAACACAAGATTCATTTTACTGATTTTGAATTGAAAGCTTGTAGAATGTGGGGAAGCACTGAATCTAATTATTACTCTCACCTCTATTTTCTGGAAAGGGCACTCAACCTCCCTTTTATCTGTTCCATCCTGTTTAAAAGAGGTCATCTTCTGTTTTTTAATGAAAAGTCAAAAGAGTATGAAAAGCTTTGTAATATGTGGAAGTACTGAAAACTGTCAAAACTCACCATTTGTTGGTTCAAAGGCACAGATGCACTTTTCTCACACAGCTGGTAAGTCCTTTTTGGCACATGTTCCTCATCCTCTTCAGGATCTGGTACTGTTTTTTCTGCTGCTCCACTTGACCCTTCTTCACTTTCCCTCTCACTCTTCTCCAGATGCTCCTCTTTTAACTTTCTCTTTTGCACTTCTTTAACTTTACTTCTCGTCATCACCACAGGATCTTGAATCTTTGTTTCTCTCTTCTTTCCCTTTTCACTCTTATCCTCCATGTTCTCCAAAGTCTTCTCTTGAATTTTTGTTTCTCTCTTCTTTCCCCTTTTACTCTTACCCTCCATGTTCTCCAAAGCCTTTTCTTGAATCTTTGTTTCTCTCTTCTTTCTTTTTTCGCTCTTACCCTCCATCTTCTCCAGAGACTTATCTTGAATCTTTGTTTCTCTCTTCTTTCCCTTTTCACTCTTACCTTCCATGTTCTCCAAAGTCTTCTCTTGAATCTTTGTTTCTCTCTTCTTTCCTTTTTTACTCTTACCCTCCATGTTCTCCAAAGTCTTCTCTTGAATTTTTGTTTGTCTCTTCTTTCCCTTTTCACTCTTATCCTCCATGTTCTCCAAAGTCTTCTCTTGAATTTTTGTTTCTCTCTTCTTTCCCCTTTTACTCTTACCCTCCATGTTCTCCAAAGCCTTTTCTTGAATCTTTGTTTCTCTCTTCTTTCCTTTTTCGCTCTTACCCTCCATCTTCTCCAGAGACTTATCTTGAATCTTTGTTTCTCTCTTCTTTCCCTTTTCACTCTTACCTTCCATGTTCTCCAAAGTCTTCTCTTGAATCTTTGTTTCTCTCTTCTTTCCCTTTTTACTCTTACCCTCCATGTTCTCCAAAGTCTTCTCTTGAATTTTTGTTTGTCTCTTCTTTCCCCTTTTACTCTTACCCTCCATGTTCTCCAAAGTCTTTTTTTGAATCGTTGTTTCTCTCTTCTTTCCCTTTTCACTCTTACTCTCCATCTTCTCCAAGGTCTCTTCCAGAATCGTTTTCTTTGTCTTTTGTCCTGCTCTACCCTCATTGTGGATCTTTTCCTCTGCCCTTTGTCCTTCTTCACCATCACTGTCCATCTTCTCCAAAGTCTCTTCCTGTGTCTCTTTCTCTGTCTTTTGTCCTTCTTTTAGCTTATTTCTGTCACCTTCAATCTTTGACATCTCCAAATAGCCCTCATCCACTTCACCTTCTTTTTCTTGTCCTTCATATTCTCCCCCCTTTGTTCAGGCAGGCTCTTGTGCAATGTTGTGTCTCCCACTGAGACTTCATTCTCCAATAGCCACTCTTTGGACACAGTTTCCCCCATGGATCCTTTATGTTAAGTAAATAATGATTGGTTACTATTGAAATTTGCACCAGTATTTATCCTTTGCATTGTACTATGTATTTACCTGAGGGAATCATCTGTCCAACTGTGGATCCAGCCTGGTGTTCAATGTTGTCACCTTAAAAGTGTATAAATACAGAAATATATATATGCAACTTTTCTTGTCCAGGCTCTATTACTTCACTTTGTCATATTTTTCCATAATTACCAGATATTGGCACGATGACTTCAAACAAAGATGACTGGTGGAAAATCATCTTATTCACCATATTGACTCGGTCACACACAGTTTTTGTTGAGTGAGTTGTCAAAATCGTTGCTGTTCCTGGGCTTACAAAAGCCTGCTGCATCTAAAAAATTAAAATAAAAAAGATGTTAAAATATGTTCTCGATCATCTAGTTCGTCTAGCTCGGATGTTCAGGTGTGTTTTAGTGCAGTGCTCTTACACCAGGACGGACTTTGACTGCCACCTTGTCATTCTGTGGGAAAAGGTCAAAGCATGTTGTAAACAGTTAACAAAAAGCGAGCAGATCTACTTCACAGTCAGAAGTTATCATTTTGATTTGTTGGCCTTATAGAAACCCATTTTATCACCTACACACAATGGCAAAGATCCAACATCTATGTAAGAGTCCCTTTATTGTAAAGAATGGGCCTGATGTCTAAACAAGTCTGTTTACTGTAAAATACTTTTTCTGACTTGAGTAACAGCTTTTCTTGTGTTTGTGTTATATGTGGTATATGGTGGTATATGTTGACATTATACTTACTACAGGTGTCTTGAGAGTGACAGGACTCAGTGAAACCAGGGCTGTATTCAGTTTTAGGTCTGGAGATTGGCTCATCAATGCTCGTGTATCCTGTTAATTTATCAATATGAATTAAAGAAGAAATGAAACAGACAAGTGTGGGTTTTAAAAGCCAAGTTTCAAGTTTTTATTTTGCTAATGTGGTAAAACGTTATCTTTTTGTGATATGATTATTGCTTGTTTGATGTACTAGCCACTTCACTTACCTCATTCTGCAACACATCTTCCTCACCACTTTCTTTTGACAGGGCTTCCTCTTCTTTCTCAGGCAGACTTGGACTCTCTCCTCTCGTACACTCCTCCTCTGATTCCTTTTCTGTTACTCTCAGTGCACGGATCCTTGAACCAACCCGCTCAACTTCAGATGAGCTCCTCAGCTGGTTTTATGAAAGACAAAAATAATTTGTTCATTTGGACTGAAAGCTTTTAGTATTTTCCGAAGCATTTACACTGATAATGACTCACCTCTCTTTGCAGGACAGAGCTCTCAGATCTCTTTCTTTTGGCCACCTTGTGAACCCTTCCTATGATCTGTTCATCCTCTTCTTCAAAATCACCCTCTGATTCTGCCTGTGTGGTTTTAACTCATTAAAACTCTAACTCATTCAGCTCTGAAGATCTTCAGTACTTTTAAACACTTAAACTGATGATAGATCTCACCTCTCTTTGCAGGACAAGGCTCTCAGATCTCTTTCTTTTGTTTACCTTGTGAACCCTTTCTAGGACTTGTTCCTCCTCTTCTTCAGAATCATTCTCAGATTCCTGCTGTGTGGGTTTCCATTCATCAGCGGAGCCATCACCTTCAGATGAACTAAAGCTCTGTTTTTAGGTAACACAAGATTCATTTTACTGATTTTGAATTGAAAGCTTGTAGAATGTGGGGAAGCACTGAATCTAATTATTACTCTCACCTCTATTTTCTGGAAAGGGCACTCAACCTCCCTTTTATCTGTTCCATCCTGTTTAAAAGAGGTCATCGTCTGTTTTTTAATGAAAAGTCAAAAGAGTATTTAAAGCTTTGTAATATGTGGAAGTACTGAAAACTGTCAAAACTCACCATTTGTTGGTTCAAAGGCACAGATGCCCTTTTCTCACGCAGCTGGTAAGTCCTTTTTGGCACATGTTCCTCATCCTCTTCAGGATCTGGTACTGTTTCAGTTAGTGTGGTTTTCATATCACCTGCATCATCCTCATCAGATGAGCTCACCATCTTTTTCAGGAAAAATAAAGTATATTAAGCTCATTTTAGAATGACGTATTTTAATTTGTGTGTGGAAACACTGCCTGTCTCACCTGCTGGTCTGACGGCACAAGGATCTTGTTGCTGTACAGCTGGTTAAGCCTTTTTCTCACAGGCTTCTCTTGGCCCAATGGTTCATGCTCCTCCTCTTCATACCCCTGATTGTCTTCATTTTGTGCAGGTTCGTTGTCCTCCCTTTCAGAAGCAATGGTCATGGTTTTGTCTTTCTTGTGTTTCTCTCTGCGTTTCCATGTCTTTGCAGCATATGTAGAAATTGCCATCATTGACAATTCTCTACTCTGGAGTGTGACCTCTGCTGGGTCCTCCGCTGTGCAAAGAAATGGATAAAATGAATACAAGTTAATGGATACTACAAGAACAAATAGGTTTGGCATTGATTTAGATTGTTTAAAAAACCTTGATAAAATCTTTTGGCTGTGTTTGCATCATGGCACATAAAAGTCGTCACTTTCTGGTAGGTTTTATGGCCCAACTGCCGCTTGGCCTGGAGGAATGAATGTAAAAAAGAAATATATACAGGTGCAAAATTCATTAACTTTTTACCACACTTAATTGTTTTTAAGATACAAAAAAACATGAGAAGTTATCTCACATAAGTGGCAACAGAGGAGCGCAGCATGTTGAAAGTTGGGGCTGTCCCCAAGCCCATCCCCTCCCAGGCTTCCTTGAAATATTCAGACAGCTTCAGCAAGACGCCTCCACTGGTTGTGTGAAAGAAGGTAGAAGCCTCTTTGCCTCCTTCAATTCTGTTTCGAAGCAGGTTGTAACGCTGCAACCAGGAATACTCGCTTGGCTTGAGGGGTACAGCTGCTTCACCAAAGTACCTTTGAGTCTTGTGCTGTCCAACCTAATAATTCAGGAAAGTTGACTTTTCACTCTGACCAACTGATATAACAATGTGTATGTCTCTTGTGTCCTTTCAGTTTTTGTAATAATGTTTGCACTTACACGGATGATGCGGGCACCGTGCTTAGTCTTTTCTGCTGCCTTGACCTCCTTTGTGGTCATGTTGATCACAACACCCTTTCGGTGGCCTGTTGTTGCAATAATATAGCCACCCAGCAGTCCAAAAAACTCTTTCAGACATGTTCGGTCCTCTGGATGCTTCTCAAGGTCAACTGTAAAAGCAGAGGAAGGACATTGTATGCATTCACTCGCAATGATAATGTTCTTTACCTTAGTACCACACGTTGGCCACACAAAAGCAGCAGAGACCAGCCCATATATAAAAACCCAGTTTGTAGATGTTAATCCCTGTAATGTAAAATCTGCAGAACGGTATCTTCACCCAAAGTTTGAGTCTGGAGAAGCCCCATAACATTAAATAAACCTTATTTTTACAAATCTGAAACTTATGCTGAGCAATGATCCATACCCAGTACTGCAGTGATCTTCTTCGGAGCCTCATCTATAAACCATGCATGTTTCTGTGCCTTGACCAGTCTCTCTGAAATTTTGAATAGCATTTATTATATGCATGTTCCCTGCTTTTAAGGATGTAATGTTAATGTTTGGAGGTGGGGTTATGAATGTTAAACATACCAGATTTACTTCGCCTCACACTGAGCTGGTGCCCGACCACATCCCGGCCAATATCTCTGATCCGGGCCCTCAGCTCTACCAAGATGGCATTGATTCTTTTTGTTGCCAGTCTGACAGATGGTGGTGCCATGTTTGAAATATATTTCATAAAGGCCACAACATCCATCAAATAGTTTCTCTGTGTTGGGGGTTTGAAGCCTTTTTCCTGAAGGTCTGCAACAAAACTTGAAAGACAAAAATACAAATACAGTCATGTCCTCTACCCTGTGACACACTGATGCTTCTAACAGTGTAGTACTGTTAGGGATATTTTTGTTTCTTCTTGTTTGATTACACCATCCCCTGATATCTGTCAGGAGTGTTTTATCTCTTTTATAATCAAATAGTGTTTTACCTCTCCTATTGATTAAGTCACATATTTTACCTCTTATTGATAAAGCTGATCAAGTGACCCTTTCCTACCTCTGATTAATACAGCTATACTTCCTACCTCGAGACAGTGTAGTGTGCCTTAAATCACATATCATGTTTGTATGCAATATTCAAAGATACTGTGTTACTAATCATTGAGTTGTTGTGACCTGTCCAGCAATCAGAGGGTATGACGCATTAGTCCCGTGGTGTGAAGGATTAATACATGTGAGAGATAAGCCAGGATACTCTGAAAGTCCCTTTATTATTACTAGCTATTATTATTATTACTAACGAACATGCACTGAATCACAAGTCTGCACTAAAAGGGACTTTTTACTGTAGCTCATACTGTGACATTTGATGCAATTGTTTAAAGATAGGCCTGTACACCAAGTTACACAGGTGCCTTTGTTTTCAAAGAATCAGCCTGAAGCTGTGGCCAAGGTCATGCGAAGGATGCAAGCAAGTGATGGGAGCAAGTAACAGACACAATGGAGCCTAAGACCATAGAAAGATTCCAAACATGGTGCAGGTGAGATAGTATAGGGAGGATCTTTCAACGCGGCGATGTCTTCTGTGGATGGATGGTTCGTGTGCCAAGAGGCTGAGACCAGCCTGTGCACCAACGAAGGAAGAGCTATGTCTAAACCACGGTTTCTTCCCACCAGTTTTGCCAATCATAATAATCAATGTTGACTTGTAATTTGCATGCTGCACATCATATAGTGAATATGTGTTAACAATCTTTATCCTTTTCTGGGAGGCTGGATACAGAGTAACAGGGATCTGCTGACTGTGTTTTTCCAAACAGAAAAGGTCCATGATCATGTACTCTTAATAATCCAATTTGAAAATAAATAGT